CTCATATGAAAAAGTCGATGAAGAAAAAATGAAAGAGAAAAAAAAGGATGAATGAGAAAGAAAAAATGGAAATAAAAGGAAAGAAAGTTAAAAACGGAAAACCATTGGTCGATGCTTAAGACCAGCTAAAAATCGATTTCTTGTAGCCATATTTAAAATAGGCAGAACTCCCATCATATATCGAATTAGAACTACATTTGTTTTCTGAAATAGACATTTTTACTCTTATAACTAATATACCCCTAAAGAAAGAAAAGGAAATTTGTCATCTTCTTCTTCAAAGTGCAGCATCCATTCAAGACATCGGAAATCACGGTTCTCCACAATTTCCTATATCGTGTGACTCTGAGTAGTTTTACTCCCTTTGATAAAGCCTCGGCCTCCGCCACTTTTCTCCCATCGATACACACAAGCCCATGAGGTAAGTGGCTTGCTGCCTTCCCTATCTCTCTTAACCTCAATATGATTTCAATTTCAGTTATTTTCCAAGCACTCCTTCCTCGTTTCCAAAGAATGTCAACTCTCTTCCTGATTTTGGGTCCTTTCTGTAGCCATTTTCCTTAAGACGTCCTTCTTGCTTACACTTCTCCGACAATTCAGGATCCTTCTGTAGAAACAAAATTCTGTTGCTTCTTGTGTTTTTCGCATCCTTATAGGATTTATCCAATATTCACTGTCATATGGATAATAGCTGGTCACTCGTATTTGAGGATAGCCGTCTATTAGGGTGGCTAGCCAATCCCTATTGCAGACGCTCGATCAGATAAGTTTGTGTTTGTTCAACACCCAAAGAGTCAACCTGTGGTTTATACTGCAACTATGCTGAGTTTCTGGGAGAGAGTTAGAAAAATTAACATAAATACCTAATTTCTGCAGGTTTTGGTTTACAGACCGACTTCAAAATGTTGCTATTTCAAGAATAAATCCAAAGGTTATATCTTTTCTATTAGATGCATTGAATGTAAAAAAAAAGATGCATTGAACGTAAAAAAAAATATTAAAACCTAATCATGAATCACCACAAGGTAAATATGCAGATTTTTATTAGTAAAAACTGTAAAAATATTATAAAATATTACAAATAAGTCTACTCAATGAATAATATTTGTTAGATCATAATTAATATAAACAAAAAATATATATAAAAGTGTATATAACAACATAATACTCCTGGGCGGAAATTATAAGACAAAATGTTTTAAATTTGCACTGTTTATTGAAAATCACCCTAAAACTACTGCATGTGATAACATATTACATCATAATATAGATAAATTGTTCAGTATAATTTCCGTTTGAAGTAAATGAAGGTCTTATTTGATGGCACAATGATTTAGTAATAATGTGCTTGCGCCTTGCATCTTGTCCATATACAATTTGTAAAGCTTCAGTAAATTATAAATTTTATATGGCAGTGCTCTAAGGCTTTCACTGATCACCGGAATAAAATAAAATTCCAACACTATGATTTTTAACCTAAACTTAATCTTTAAACTTGTTTCCTTTAAAAAGCGGTTACGATTAAGAAAGAAAAAGTTCTTGTTCTTATTTATCATGTGAAATCCCAACTTTCAAATTGAGTGCAATACCACACTTCCAAAATCGATATGCCCTATCGTCTCATGAACTCAGTGGAAACAAGGCGAGACAAGATATACTTGGCCATGGGCTGTGGAACAAGAATAATCTAAAACTATATATTAAATGAACGGTTCAGATGAAAATTTCCTGAAGGTTACCCCAACCGGCAATCTATTTGTTTTTAACATGTTTTTTAATTAAAAGAAATCCTTGTAGTTCCAACGAATGATTTATTTCATGGAAATATTTCGCCTAGCTGTTGCTAATATTGGTCACTTTAATTTGAGTAAAACAGTACAAAGAAACTAGAAACTCTCACGAATTTAAATCATGGGGAGAAAAAAAAAGAAAAAAGTTTTTCTTTTAATTATGCAACTATCAACGGAGACAAGCATCCTAAATTTGACATGTTTTTTAGGCTGTGTTCATTCATTTCACTCCAAAGACATATTTTGCTTTCTTTGATGGTTTGCCTCTCCTTTTTACACGTTTGTAAACCCAGAGTAATCCTTTGCTTAGACGGAATCTCAAGCAAAATTACAAAGCACTGTCTGCTTTACTATTTAACCCGTACTTGATGTGGACATGGGGGAGTAAAATAAATTCCTACTCATTCCGAAGGGGGTTATTGCGAAAAAAAATAGTAACAGACTACTCAACATTTTGGGCATATAACCGTTATGTCAGATTATGCAATTCGTTTTGGCGTACCATTCCCATCAGTGGATAGATCCTCGATGTACACGACGGTAATTTATGCACGTTGTATGTAATATGTCTGCACTTCAACGTGACCCTCACATTCTCGCATGAAGATGAAGATGAAACGTCCAAAGTACCCGATAAATCACATAGGATCGATTTGGCCGACGTTCATATGACTGAGTCCAGAAATCAATAAACAATTATTTTCCGTATGAAAAACTGAATTTTGTAATTTTAACGTGTCTGCTTCATAACACTGAATCCCAAATGACCGGAAAACTAGCTTTACCGAAAGCGTTCAATCAAACATTAAAGTGATTCATTTTATTAAAGGGAGAGAACTATTATATCTGAATAGTGTATTTCTTAATGTGTGCATCATTTAAAAATTATTTTTTAATCTTATTGTTGCGTATATAAAATAATGACTGATGGACAAATTGATTTTTAAGAGAATTATTTAATGTTGAAATCAGCTAAAGACAGGAAATTATCCTTTTTTTTCCGGCCAACGCATATAAAATTTCAATAAAAATTAATAAATTGGTTTGGTTTGTTTTGTTTTACGGTATATCAACCTCAATGAGTTATTTAATGCTGACAAGATCTTTATTACTCGAAATATTTTTTCCAAAAATGTATTATTGGTAATATTTTTTCAAAACACTATTGCTGGTTATATTTTTTCTTCTAAAATGTATTGCTGGTAATAATTTTTTCAAAAAAGTATTGTTGGTATTAAACCTATTTTTATACTTTCCTAGTGTTTTGACCCTTTTCGGGTGATCCTGACAGGTGCTACCATCCGGTGTCAGGGTGGATCTGGGAACACCACTAGTTAAGAGTTGGTTTCCTGTTCATCAAAACCTCCTGAACAAAGGCCTAACTGTCGGACGTAGTTTATCGTCTTACCCAGAACGGCAAAATTATTAAAATAATAAAGAAAAGGGGGAAGACGAATTGATAGCATGTCTCAAAACGTTCTCAATGATTTCGTCAAGAGAAGAAAACAATCACATGTTTTGGGGATACATCTATTTGCAGTAACGTCTGCTAAGAAGGGAGCAAGTTTTATTTACCTGAAAACTGCCTTTGCCGAAAGCGCTGGATCTTCAGTTTGTCGAATAGGTCATTTCACTGAAAAATAAAAAAGATAGAAAATTAAAGGGAGATAACTTTTATATTTGGTTAGTACTTTTTACGATTATAGATTATTTGAAAATTTGATTACTGCCTTAAGATAATGGATAAGTTTTTCTCCAATTAATTCATCTCTGAAATGTTCCTTCACATAATAATATACCTTAATATTTTTGGTTTTATTGTAGAAATATTTAAAAACGAGTAACAAATGGCGAAAAATAAACTTATTTAAGTATTAGCCGAGTAGATTAAGGATTTTGAATGAAACGAATATTTAAATAGATTTTTTCGCATTTTTTAAAATTTATTTTTAAATATTCATAGAATATAACCAAAACATTAACCAACATTATCACGTGAATAAATAGTTTAGTGGTTGAATTAAGCATAAAAATGTTATTCCATGCCGAAAAAAAAAAAAAAAAAAAAAAAACTTTAAATGATGCATAACTAAACAAATAAATAAATAAAACTATTCAGGTATAAAATCTCCCTATAATTTGCTAACTTTTGATTATTTGGCGAAGGAAACCGTTTGACGAACGCTTTCGATACAGACAGTTTTCACGTAAATAATATCCAACATCGTCTGTCTTCTTTAAATTCCGAAGAACATTTTTTTTAATGTTCCGAAACATAGAAATTTTTGTGTCGTGATTTAAAATGATTTATAATAAAAATATTATTACAATAAATAACATTCTCTAGTTATCATTGCGGCTCCACCTCCAAGGAAACTAAAGCAAGCTCGTCGCCAGAGTATTTTTAATCGAGAAAGGCAATAAAGCCACTAAGACGTAAAACATTATTAATGAGCTGGAAACGAAAAGAGTAATCAGGAGGACAGGAGATAGCGATTGACATTGCATTTAATTTTTTGAAAATTAAAGTTGGCTGAAAGCATGGAGCTGAAAGGGAGTTCCATAAGCGAGAGTTGCGAGAGAAGAAACTGTTAGCATAGAACTTACGGTTACATCTAGCCAGCTCAACTGTAAATTGATGAGATCTCAACACAAGGCCAAAAATTGGGAATGGCTAAAAGGACGGTCTGTCTTAACTTTAAAGTTAGCTAGCCACAAAAACTGACCCAGACATACCATAATATTCCTAACACCAAAACAACGCACTCTTACGTATCTTTCTTACTACATCCACCATAATACCTCATTGTCTCTATGAAAATCCTAACTAGTCCCCATATGTACAATTCATTGTCTGTGGGGGGAAGGGAATAAAAACACCAATTCAAAAGCTAGTCCCAATGAGTATTTACAATATGAGTACAAATCTTTTTACAAGAAACTAAATAATGTTAGTAATAAAAAAAACAATCTTTAAATGTAGCAGAAACATCAGTTAACTGAACGAAGTCAATGCGGGGCTATAATCATATAAAACATTCATTTATCCCAAGCACTGACACAAACACATACTCATCCGAAAAACTCACCGAACAATTAACCTGAAAGTATTTATAGAAAAGACACAGGGAAGCAACCTTGCGACGGTGGGAAAGTATTTGAAGCCAAGACGCCAGATCAGGACCGATAATATTGCTGATTCTACTTTGG